AAGTTCGCTAGTGTTGTCGAGTGTTTTTCGAATTTTAAAATAATACAGATACAGCGGCGCTTGTGCCGTTAATATTATAATCAGAATCAGAAAGACGACTGCGCAGATTTATATACCTACATGCTTTGTTGGTTCCGTTCTACAATTGGTTTTTAAGTTTTATATAATCGTTATTGTTTTGTAAGAGGTAACACACTTGGCTTTGAAAATAATTGTACATAATACACGTATAAATTTAGGTTTCCGAAGGCGAAGTTTTTTACATTTTAAACACGTTATAGCTGCCAGAATCAAATTTCTAAGGCGGTACCTATCTCCAATTGCGTGATTGTGGTGAAGATTTACTTTTCATTTTCTTGAATGAGACATGGATATACCAGAACGGATCCATGGTGAAATTGTGGATCCATGATGATGACATCAAAGCTTGTCCTCCTAAAAAAACTAGTGAAGGGAAAAGATTCAAAATTTTACATGCGGGTTGCTCTTTGGGCTTTTAGAGGGATGCGATTTTCTCCTTGGTTCAAAAATATATTCACCAGATTACCACAAAACCATCACATTTTCGATATTTGACCTTTACTTACTTACATGTCACATTTTTGATAGCTACTTTCTGACATTCCAGTAATACATTATACACTAGAACAATTATGTCCGCAGTTACACAGCTTAAAAAAAAAAGTTACCAAATCTAGTTACATCTACCGAACGTGAATTCCTTATATGTTCAGTTGTGGAAAAGCAGTAGGAGTAATAGAAACAGAAGCAGTAATAGAAACAAAAGCAGTGAAATGCGACAAGGAAAATATCCAATATAGGTTTTCTAGTAGTAGTTATGTTGTAAATATTAAACATTGCGATCATGCCTAGATTATTTTAGTTAGTAAGTTTGATTGTATTCACGAAAACTTTAATAAAAACAAGTGTAAAATAAAGTTGTCTTCAGTGGCGGCTCGTCAGGGGAGGCAGTGCCTCCCCTGGAAAAATTGACCATTAGTTTTTGTTTTAATATCTGTTAGCTTCAAATATATTTTACAGATATAGCAAATAACTTTTATGGAACACTGTCATTTATTAAAACGCGTCTTGGTAATATATTTTGAAGTACGCGCTTTCGACAGGAATAAGCGCTGATCATCGCCGTGTAGGCCAGCTTCAGACGGAGGCATGCCTCAGATAGACGGATATCTTCAGTATGATTAGTCAGTGGTGCTAATATGTTTTTGAGAAAGACAATAGTCATCAGTGCTTTATCAAAGCGCCAGCGGAGGCACCAACGCCTACCGTCCTTAACCCAATCAGATCGAATTTTTTAATCTCACGGTGAAACTGCACAATGCTGAACAGGGATGCTGAATGCATTTAGTTAGTTGTGCATTAATTAGACGCGAGGAAAGGTATTGACTGCATGTGCATTGCCAAGGTTATGTATTAAAACTGTTACGTTAACTTGAAATTGAAAACAGTCTGGACAATGAAAATGTGTGTTTTACAATGCTGAACATAAGAATCTATAATCTCCAGAGTTTCTTATAAAGTTTAAATATTTAAGCACGGTTTTCTTACGACGAACAATTGTATGTCAAAGATTTAGGACCTCTCATCCAGATTTGAGCAGAAATTTATTAATTATTTGATTAATATATTTAAATCAGCCCTAGATCATATTAATTAATGTTTAATGTTAATAAAGCAAATTCTGTAGTCTTTACACCTTCTCGTTGGTTTGTGTCAAGCAATTAAATGTTTTTTATTCGAGAAGTGTACCCATATAGAGATATGTTACTGACTCAGAGTTATTTGTATTGTTTTCATAAAAACGAATAAACAATCTGTCTTTTAACAAAAGTAATTGCCAACATGTTAATTAATACCTGCCGATTTTGAAACGAAAATGTTGCCTCACCTGACAAAAAGACCACGAGCCGCTACTGGTTGTCTTTATTGTACTAGTACCATAAAGTACCACATTACGGCCGCTAAATTATAAAATAAAGTAACGTTTATAGAGCAATCGGACATAAAACATTTTATGTTTCTATCTTGTGATAACCCAAACTTCCCGCCTTAAAAATTGACCTTGAAACAGTTTGAAAGGCCCGCGAAAAATTCAAAAACTCAAAGTTTGGCCTTGGCTGTGATCGTCTAACAAATGAGAACCTACGTTGTGTGTTTTTTTTTTGTGGTTTTGAAAAATGGCGGGAAGACGTTCTTTCATACAAGTGCATACACTGTCGAGAGCGCAAGAAATAATAGACAAAATTGTTTTGGAGGGCGAGTACGGCACCCTCACAGGGGGAAAGACGCTTCGAAGATTTACTCCTCAGCGCAAAAACCCCCTTTTTGTTTTATTCCCGGACGACATAAATATTACATTTCAAACACCTTAAGATATGTGAAAGAAAAACACTCGCGAATTGACAGACATACACACACGAAAAACGAACAAACGGAAATTCTGTACATCTGTTTGGAATCAATGCAAATATTTGAATATCACAAATTTAATAAAACAAAGCAAAAGCTGAATCAAGTAACTGGATGCAAGTACACAAGTTATTACAGGCGTGTGGCGGACGATCTTCTTTTCCTTTTTTTTTTTGTTACGGCAGTTAACAGGAGTACAACAAAAGTACCCCTGGAGCGTTGTAGCATAAGCGGAGTCTGAGCTACCGGTCTGGAACTGTTCTCCCCCCGCGACGATGATTCTATCTATCGCAAAGCCTACCCCACACGCATATCCCATGACGAACTGTGCCCTGCGGAACTAGGCCATTACGGTCGTCCAACCCGCAAAGATCTCGACTATTGGGCCAAATCGAGAAATTCACAACGTCGGCGGCCGCCCCTGAATCTATCCAAACCTGTGGACTTGTACAGGTGGCACGATAAATCTCGCCAGCTCGACTAGGAACTGAACTTCGCTTCTGCCACGTTTTCTGTGTCATTTAACCTCAGTTCCATTTTAAAATATTCAATCTCTTATAACTCTGATATTAACAACAACTGAACAAGTGTTAAAGTGTCAAAGAGCAATAAACAACATTTAGATTCGACATACAACCTTGTGAAATTTTAAACAATAAATAATTCGTATGTGAGATTAAAGTTGGACATCAATTAATTTATATCATAGAAACATTCATCAACAAAGTATTTACAAAACAAAACTTAGCAAGGATTTATGCAACAAAGATCTGGTGCGAAATAAACTTGTACAAATAGAAACATTATGTGAGGTTAAAACTGTAGAACATGAGATTTACGTTCAATTAAAATTATACAACAAATAAAATTACTGAGGTTAAAATTGTGAGATTAAAGAAATATAGTATGATGTGAAAATTGCAGAGTTAACAAAATTTACAGGAGATTAATATTTGCCACACTTTATCAACGGTTCAAACAAAGAGTTTACATTATACCAAATTATATCATGATCTAAGTGATTGGTTACTTCAAAAATAATTTACTTTGAGAGTTTAAAATACTACGAACTGGTTACCCCAACAAAACACATAATAAACAAACACAAAAATATCCAATCATCGCTCCGAGGGAAAAAGCGTCTCGGTGATGTAAATTCCAAAATCGTTGCGAGGAAAAAGCGTCTCGGTAATGTAAATTTTCTATAGCGTTGGGGGCATGCATTGGTTAATTAATCAATCTGGCGTCGTGAAGCATGCCCCGATGAATTAATCGTGATAACCATGATAACCACCTAAGGGGAGAAAATATCATAACCCCCCCGCCAGTTCGCAGTATAATGAACTTGTTTAACTGCCGTAAATGAACTATTAGCAATCTTGTGTGAAGAATTTAGAAGTGTTATAATGTAACACTTACGTATATGCATCCAGAGACCTATTCGTAATTAAACATAAGGTGTTTTTCCTGACTAAGTGAATTTCATGAAATCTTCTAGCAAATGGTTAATTTAAATAATCCTGATTGTTAAATTGTGTTTGCACTAGCTGACTACTAAGAAAAACTAGCTTGATTGGTGAATTTACAAACAAAGAAACAGATTCACAACACGTGTTCGCGTCCGACCGGAAGTCTGCAATTTTCGATTAAAAAGGGCGCAAGAATTTAACGCGCGGGTTGGGGACAACTGTATCATTATGAAAAATACGTTTGATCGTCGTTAAACAAAGGCTTCCTCCCGTTTTATTAACTACCAAACCAACTAATTTAAACCTAGTTCTTACCACGTCGTCACACACACACAGCCACATTCGTAATGGCCTACCATGCCGTTTCTCTACCAACCCTGTAACTGAAATTACCCTAGCGCTACGTGCTGCCATCTAACCCAAAGATCATGCAAACTAACTCCTAAGCGCTACGTGCATTAGACCATCCATGCATATTTGGTTGCCTATGTTTAAGGAGTTCCTTTTCGTGATTGAACCTTCTTTTTTTTTTTAAAATTCAAATTATTCAAATGTGATTTCGCGCCGCTGTCAATTAATTTCAGCGCGAAAACTTTGATTTAAATTCGGTCACCACAATCTAAAAAAGCAGTTCTTACGCCACTGTAGTTGAAGTTCCTGCATGGCTTGTTATATCAGTTTTTAGTGATTAGTGCTTAGTTGTATAATTGTTTTGTTTTGATTTTTTTTTGTTATAGGTATTTGTGTATACTTATCCCGAGTTATGATACAAGTGTCCACATAGATCTTTTGTCTGTTTGATAATAAATTACCATTATTACTACTCAAGTACATTCAAGAAATTGGATGGTTTGACGAATGAAGGAGCGGGAAGACATCCTGATATGAACCTGGGAAAGGCTCAATGGGCCCAAAGGCGAGGCCTAAGTGCCGCCTGGCTACGGTCAGTCCCCATATAATTAAAATTTAGAATCCAGACACGTTTCTATAATATATTAATGAGTAGAAAAGAACGTTAGAACTTTTGCGTTTGTGACGTCGAAATAAATAAAAAACATGCTTTTAAAAGAACTTACTTATGGAATGAACACAACCAACATATATGTTACTTAGAGTTTTATTATTAGATGCATTATAAAAAAAATACTACAGTTCATCTTTCTCAAAAAAAACTCACATATTTTTTACGCTTATATTAATAAACGTTTTTAAAAAAATGTTAATTCATTGTACTTAAATCAATTTTAAAAGCCAACTCTATGACATTTTGCGGAATACTGTCTTGGTAACAAACATAAACTTCACGGGGATGAGGCATGTAGAACAGTCTCCTGAAATTAAATTCAAAAATATAAATGTACAAATTTTACTCTTAAGACCGATTTGGGTAGCAACGACGTAGTTAAATACACAATAATAAACATGTATTGAATTTATTATTAACCAACACTCCAACAGGGTTAACTCTATTTGTTTTATATGAATTAGTACACACAATTTCACATTCTACACAATACTGATTTGCAATCCTTTATTTTATTGATATTTCAGTATTGTTTCAACTGAAGTGAGAAAAACCCTAGTACCATTAAACAAATACTTACCCAACAACCCAATATTTGATTTTATATTTCTTAGTATCAACATCATCTAAGAATGGACATTCAAACATAATTCCATGTTCCTTGATTGCTATGAGACTTTTATTCATTACAGATTTTGCCATATCTTGAGCAGGCATGTTCTAAAATAATCCACAATGAACAATTTAAAAATGTATTCAAACGAAAAAACTACTTTAAATCTCATTGTATTCTGAAACAAGCAATGTATCTTGTGACATGCCTGACGAAAACAGTTCAAAATTGCATCGAGAGTTTGTGATGATATCCTACATTCTGGTGCGCAAACCAACACACCTTCCGTAGAGTCAAACTGAACAAAGTGAAACAAAACGTTCTCTTTCCCAGTAGTCAACTGCTGAGGCTGAAAACCCCCAGTCTCTGATAAAATCGTTTGACGTAACTCTGAAATATCGAAACTGCTGTTGCTCATTTGACTACCGTCCTGCAATGCAATAAAATAAAATATGTACTAAACGCCATTCGTTTGGCTTTGCCGATTGCACGCACAATCAACAGTCAGCTGTTTAATATCGTTTAGGCTCCCAAAATTGAACATCAACTTTCTCATATTAAAATAGTTTAAATGTATAGTCTTTGCCATTTCTATTGAAACACCACTTGTTAATCGTAAATTTGGCAACGTTCATATTCAGACAATTTTTTAACTAAAAACCGTTGTCAATTAACCGAAAGCTGTCAACAACTGCTAAATTTTAAGCAAAATCAACAGGTGGTGTTTCAATAGAAATGGCAAAGATAATACTGAACTAACTTCCGTTGATTTATACTCATTTGTATCTAACTCCTTTTACAAATGCTTTAGGCTTTGGGTTTAACTCAGTTTGCTCCAAATATTTCAAACTTTTAAGATGGTACTTTATAATAATAGACTCAACCAGTGATCAATCAGAACAAAGTCAAATTTTTTATCAGAATGGGATGTGTGCGCCACCGACAAAGCTGATGAATGGAAATACCCATAATAAAACTGCACCAACCCCATAATCATCTATATCCGATTCTTCATCATTGGAATCATATTTTCTCCTTCTCACATTAGAATTTTCATCGCTCATTTCACTATGCCCTCCTTGGCTACCTGAATCTTCCGAATGCATATCACAGGGATCATCAGACAGAAGTAATGAGCTGGAATGAATGAGAGCCTGGTCGGAATTCCGTCGTTTCAAAATAGACATCACTTCAGGTTTTCTGTGTTCTTTATGTTGTGAAACTGTTTTACTCAAATTATCTAAGAAATCTGACTTGCGCTTATTGCATGTTTCGGGAATAGTGACTTGCGGTCCGGGATTTGAAGCTATCCAACGATCAGCAAGGTCGGAAATTCCTAATTCTTGGATGTGGGCCAGCGTTGCTTGGACTTCCTCAACATAGAAAGCATCAGGACCCATATTTTCCTCGCCTGGTTCTGTGCAGCCACCTGCCTCCATTATTACAGCCAGCAAGTCCTAAGCAAAGAAAAAAGTTTCTTTGTAATCAAAACTGTCTGTTTTAAGTTCATATTTTGAACTTAACGTTGTGGTGTGTCCTAGTTAGAATTAAAATTTCGCGTTGAAAAAAAAAAAACAACAACGGCGCGAAGTTGAAAAATAAATTAAGAATGCTAGTTTGTTTAATTTGCCGTTGCGTTATTTAAATTTGCCGCCACACCATCGTAATAGGCGTCGTCAATACTCTATTCTTATTAGCCAAATACACTGACGTCATCCGAGGTCATCAAGATGGCAGCGTTTGACAACTAGCCTGTTTTCTCATAAGAGTCAATGCTAATATTTTCGGAATTCATTTAAATTTGAGAGCGTGTCAACTGTGTTTTTATAGTTTGGTAAGTTTGTTACAGTTTCCAGACTGTGTAGATATCTGTAAAACGCACCATAACGTTTGAATATGCTTAAAAAATAATGTTTTCCAATGTGATGTACAGGTTAACTTCGCTGCATCTTATATTATTTGTTTTGCAAATTAATTCTTTGTTAATGTACATCAATGTTTTTTAAATACACTAGCATCTTAATATTATAATATTTTGTATTTTAGGAGAAAATGCCTAAATTTTGTGCTGTTGTAGGTTGTGCGAATCGAAGCACCAGAAATGCGGACAAATTTTATTTTCCTTTCGCAGCAATTAGCAACAATAAAGGTAAATATATACAGGATGGGGAAAAAGGCGGAAGCTTTGGTTAAAAGCCTTGAAACGAGTGGATTTAACGAAGCCAAAGTAAAGTATTCCTATGTTTGTTCAGATCATTTTATTTTGGTACAGTAACTACCTATTAGATTTACAGTTTTTAATAAATTACTACATTGGTGCTCTTTTAGGTAAACCTGCAGATTTGTCGGATGTGGACCATCCTGATTATGTTCCATCACAAAATTTAGGATATCAAAATAAATCCACTCGTAATACTTGTAATGTTGAAAGACAAAAATAGAGAAAACTGAATAAATGCTTCTAGACTTTTGAATGCACAAATTTCATTGTGGGTTATTTTACTTATTCCAAAAATAAAAAAGTTTAGAATGGTATTCATTGTTATGGTAGGGACATCGTCTAAACACAAATTAAAATCACTTGCACTCATTATATAAGGATCTACGCCGTTTAAATTGTTTAACTTTTGTACATATCTGCTTTTCTCTTTGACGGAAAGACATCGTGCATAATCACTTAAATTATCCATACTTTAAAAACAAATTACACACCTTCACTTAAAGCCGTCACATTAACCTCAAACGAAAATATTAATTTCCGATTTACCGCTTAAAACACACGAATGTATTTTGGGTGACGAGGAATTCAGACCAAAACAGCGTTCTGTATTTTTATTTTTATTATGTATTTTTAAACTCAAATCGCCAAAAAAGCACCCTGATACACAGAAAAGATATGAAAGAAGCTATTCACGTGTTTATTTTCTAGATAAATACCCACACTTTTAAATAAAATGCGAAAATGTTAACATTGTCACTTACGGAGTTTCACAGCGCTTGTCAAACGCTGAGTTCCCGCCACAGCGTGACGTCACGTGTTATTGGCTAATTGTATGCTTAATTAGGGTTTTTTATGTGACTTGGGTCGTGGTTTAGAGCTATTAAATCGATTATTAGTGTTGCAAAATGCTATATTTGTGATTGAAAATTGATGTAAAAATTAAGTTCGAGTTCCAGGCAGTACAATATAAATATTACATTCGCGGAAATGAAAGTAAAGGTTTGGGGTTACGGAAATCAAACCATATTGTGGACTTTAAAATTTTCTTTATTTATTCTTAATTTATCATTCTCATGTTTATCGGTGTATAAGTGTACTAACAACAAATTAAAAACTGCTACAAACATTCCACAAAGGCTAATCATTTCTTCATTTTTAACAGAACACTGTCCATGAATTTCTTTGCATTTGCTATTGTCTGAGTTGCCTACTTTAGTATTTCTTGTTTCTTTCATAACATTACATTCAACATTTACTTGAACAATAAAATATGGAAAACATGCAGTCAAACGTAAACTGACTGATTATAATATAAGTATCGTCTACCCTTTTGAAATCAGCAAAATTTACTTGGTACTTGACATTTTATTTTAACGGCAGCTTAACATCAGCAACAGGAATACAATCAGTTTCGTTGATGCTGTTGTCTTCAGATCTGTTGAAGGATCCTCGCTTAGGTATTTTTATTTTATTTTATTCTATAATGTCTCCAACAGGCCGGAGCCCCAATTACAGGAAACATGACATACACAACACCCAGAGGCAGGGCGGGAATCGAACCTACGACCCAAGGTGCAGTGGGCAAGCATGAAGCTAACTAAACCACCCGGGTCCTCGGTTTCAGAAAATCAGAAAACACGCATCTGGTGCAAAGAGTAGTATAACAAAAGACAACAGTTTACTTATATGCGTTTACTGAATGAGCAGCGGGTGTCGTCAAAAGCCGATCTACAAAATTTTTTACGTATGGACGAAGACCATTTTGATTGGTTGCTAAAGCAAGTTGCACCATGTTTAATGTTTAATGATCATGTCTTTGTTTGCCTCTGGCTATACTTCTTTTATTTTATTAATTAGTATTTTATGTGCTTGATTTCTCAAATTGCGATTTGTATATTCTTTGTTTGTAATTTTCCATACTCCTCGATGAATTCTTCCAAAAATTGTTTTGAATAATTTCGTAAATCACTCATTCTTTCGTATGTTAAAGAGCTTTCATTTTACAACTGCCGATGATCGTAATTACCGAGTTTTTCGATATGCACGCAAATATTTCTGCAGTGAACAGTCGTTACCCGCCTCCTCACTGAAGTCCTGGCCCCATAAAAAACGCATTGAAAATCAAAACCTGCAGATTCTTCAAACAATGTTTGTGTGATAAGGTTGCACATACATAATCCTAAACTAGACGTAATTTTTCGTATGCACAAACAGATTTGTCCAAACATATACGCTGATTTATTGTAACATGTAGTCTGAAACTATGTTGAGCTATAACATAACGATCAAACATGTATAAAATTACTTTGACTTGATTGAAAAAATCTGTTTGTACAAACAATTTATACAAACATTTTATTATGTGTAGGGACGATTTATGTAAGCACATACAATTAACTCAAAAAGACCAGTACCAGAGAACATAGAGAAGCGTCAGTTTAAATTAAATGACGGTTGAGGACTCCTCGACTTATGTTGGCAACAGTGTTTGTTTCTAATTAGGAATAAAATTAACTAGAAAAAAATGTCATAATATTTTTAACGACGCGTTTTACTTTCGACAAATTGACATTAGATTTACCAGAATATTACAAGCTGCTTACTGTTTCCTTCACTGTAATTCAGGTCACACGAATTACAGTTCGTCGTTTGAGAACTCGTTTGATCTACTACGCACTCAGGCCAATGTCGACTCTAAGCGTTCGGAAACGATTTGACCACAGAACAGCGATTTGATTTATAAGCCATGATCCGTGATCTGATACACATCCTAACCGGTTTCGACCATAATTTCTTGCTGTTTCAATTTTCGAATTCTCAGTTTTTCGAAATTTTAGTTTGGGGATTTTTCAGTTTACTCCTATTTATTATTCAATTTTTGGATTTTACAATTTCTCGGTTTTCAGTTTTTCTCCTCAATTTTACGATTTTTAAATATTTCGATTTTTCAATTTTTGACTTTTATAAACTCTTTATTTGTCGACTTTTCAATTAATTGATTTTTCAGGTTTTTTGGTTTTTCAATTTTTCTATTTTTTCAGGTATTGATTTTTCAACTTCACTTTTTGATTCTTCGATTTCTCAATTTTTCAATTTTTTAATTTCTCAGTTTTTGGACATTTCAGTTTTGGGATTTTTCAGTTTACTTGTTATTCAATTTTTCGATCTTACGATTTTGCAGGTTTTTGATTGTTCAATTTTTCGATTATTTTAAGGTTTCGATATTTCGACTTCACTTTTTGATTTTTCGATTTCTCAATTTTTCGATTCTTTGGACTCTCAGTTTTTGGATATTTCAGTTTTGGGATTTTTCAGTTTTTCGATTCATCAGTTTTTCTTTCATTTTTCAGTTTTTCGATATTTCTGATCTTCGACTTTTCCATTTTTGACTTCTGGACTTTTCGATTTTTAAATTTTAGATTTCTCAATTTATTGGTATTTTGATTTTTCATTTCAGTTCTTACATATTGCAATTTTTCAAATGTTTCGATTTCTTAATCTTTCGATTTTTCGACTTCCCGGTTTTAGATTTTCTGTTTTTCAATTGTCGTTTTTTCAATTCTTCAATTTTTAAATTTTAGATTTTTTGATTTTTCATTTCAGTTCTCCGATATTTCAATTTTTCAAGTTTTTGGGATTTTTCAAGTGTTTCGATTTCTTAATCTTTTGATTTTTCGACTTCCCGATTTTAGATTTTCTGTTTTTCAATTGTCATTTTGTCAAATTTTCGATTTTTTAATTTTTCAAATTTGACTTTTATAAACTCTCAATTTTTAGATTTTCCTGTTCTTCATTCTTTAATTTTTTGATTTTTCAGGTTTTTAATTTTTCAATATTTCAATTCTTCGGTTTTTCTATTTTTGACTTGTGGATTTTTCGATGTGTCTACCTTATTACTTTTTCGATTTTTCAATTTTCCTGGTTTGCTTGTTCAGGTTTTCGATTTATCAGTTTTTCAATTTTTTATTTTGGCCTATTTCGGTTTCTCAGTTTTTCCAGTTTTCCATTTATTCGTTTTTTGATTTTTCCGCCTTTCCAATTTTTCAACTTTTAATTTTTTGTTCGTCGATTTCTCTATTTTTCGACTTCATCACTTTTCGATTTCTCGTTCTTTTGATCTTTCAATCTCTCAATTTTTCAAATTTTTAAGTTTTTTGATTTCTCGATTTATCGAGATTTGGATTTTTCGATATTTTGATTGTCAATTTCTCAATTTATAAATTGTTCAATTTTTAACTTTTCGATTTTGGCCTATTTCGGTTTCTCAATTGTTTGACTTTTCAACTCCACGATTTCTTGATCTTTTGATTTTTCGCTTTCTCGGTTTTTAGATTTTCCAATTATCCGATTTTTTAAATTTGGGGGTTTCGACTTCTCGATTTTTCGTTATTCGGTTTTTAAATTTTAGATTTTTGAATTTTACATTTTTTCGATTTTCTGATGTTTCATTTTTCGATTTTCAGTTCTTCGATATTTCGATTTCTCAATGTCTCGGTTTTACGATTTTTTAAGGTTTCGATTTTTCTGTTGTTAGATTTCTCGATTTTTCGATTACAGTATAATCTCACTAATCCGGCACTATTAAAAACCGGAGGGTGCCGGATTATTGGAATGTTCGGATTACTGGATTATAGTGAAAAAGTCATAGGTAATGACTAAAATAAAGCATTTCATAGAGGGAATAAATGTATGTAATGTATTAGAGGTGTAGAGGGGCGAGGGAGGCGTGGGCGGAGGGGCCGGATTATTGGACGTGCCGATCTAGCGAAGTGCCGGATTAGTGAGATTATACTGTATTTTTATTTTTCATTTTTTTTCGCACTGTTAACGTTATACAAAAATTGTCACTAAAAACATTTAAAAATTCATATAAAATAGAACACAGTGTTTCCAAAACATTTACCCGAAAAAAATCCATTGGGTTACTACGATTTCAACAATATTCTTAGTTTAATAAGACGTTTTGCTAGTATAAAATACAAATAAAGAATTAATTCTTAGTTAAACAAAATATGTAAAATCATCTAAATATGTACCAAAAATATTCGTTTAATGGTTATATAAAAACCGACCAAACAACTATTTCCCGCAGAAATTATAGTCCAAACCAACCAAATTGCTTCTGAATGTCGACATTGGCCTGAGCGCGCTGTGGTGTGTAGATCAAACAAGTTCTCAGGCGACGAGTTGTAGTGAAACAAGTTTTTTTATTGGCATCGACTATTTAAATTTGGCGCTTGCCTTTGGCGGTTGAGGACTCCAATGTCCAATTAGAGTGGTTTTGCAAAATCAGCCTGCATGTCGCATCTATATTAATCTATGCCAGTACAATTAGACGTAACGGAATTCCGCTTGGTAGGACCTCATTAAGCGCAGACAAAAGCAAGAATGAATTCTCATCGAAAAAAATATGAGGTATTTTTTTTTTATTTTAATTAATTATATCGCTTTTCAATGAATTGGTTATAGAGCAAATAATTATTAAATAAATATTTCTGTATAACGATTGAAATGTAGCAGAACATTGTTAATTCCATTGACAATGTATTTTTATTTCATTGTAAGTTGGTAGTGTAATATTATGTTTAAAAAATTTATATTGTGTTTCACATCACGTGATTTTTTAAATTTATGCTCTAGTTGCCCATGAAGCTTATGCCAGCAGTTTCAGTTTCACTGCTGACATAAGTGTCATGGGTAACTACAGCAGAAATAAAAAAAAAATCACCTGGTACAAATTTTCAACGAATTGGTTCTAGGACAAATAATTTTTAAATGTATAAATATTGCCGCAACGTTTCCAATACACTGTTATTTCCAGTGACAATGTTTTTTTGTGTTTAATAAATTTTATATTGTATTCCATGCAAGTTTTTTTATATCCATACCCCCTTTCATATGAAGAACATTTATTAAATGTTCTGAACTAAATAAGTATTAAACATTGAAAATAAATATATATTCAATATTTAAAACCAATATTGATTTTCTAAAAAAAAAAATCTGTCGTTACCCATATTATTTAAATGTTAGAACTTCAATATTTATTACATATAAAATTCTACTGGGGTATATATATCATTACCACGGCCAACTTCATTACTTGATTTTTGTAGTCATAGTGACAGAAATTTTGCCTAAATGCCGGTCATTTCTGGGTTAATGGCGAGTCTTTATAGGTATTTAAATACATACAAGCGCACAAGGAACGTTCAACATGTGTAAAATTCTATATGTTCTATACAAGATTTATTTACCTTTTGACTACCAACCAGAAGCAAGTATCTTTTTCCGAGTGGAACTTTCACATTCCTGTTTTCATTTCTGCTACAAGAGCATGGGAAAACCTCTTTCCACAGAACCAAAGTTTTCACTGGTTCTGTTTTAGATAAATGAAAAAATCCTTGCTGACGACAATAAATATGTACATCAATTAGATCTTCATACATTAGGTGAGACGCTAACAAGTATCCATCATGATATAAAGCACTACCAAGAATTGTGAACAATCGTTGACAATCCAGTGGTTCTTCGTTCTACAATAAATATGAATAAAATACATAAACATTTGACCATATTTTAATTTACCCATTCTCTATAGTCACTAGCTTCTAACTCTGTTAAGGCATCATCAACTTGCATAAAAGCTTCATTTGACAGTGGCATTAACGTTGCCGCTGGAAGAACATCTTCAAAAAGTCTCAAATTCTGACTCACTTCTGAATAAGCAAGCAGTACGTCACTACTTGTCCACATTCCACCATTTAGTAATTTAGTAAAAAATCGACCAAAGAAGTGATCAACTTGAGATTTATTTACTTCATTAGTAAAAGATTTATCTAGTGATTCATACAGAAATATAAGCATTCTTACAATTTCTTTTGTTACGAGAAGAGATTCTCCTAATGAAACATGATAATCCGGAAACATACAAAGCAGGAGTTTATTATTTAAGCAGGTGTAAGTAACATGATACAGCTTTTCTCTATACAGGAATGACGTGATTTTGGGACTACTCTTTGTCACTTCATTTATTAAATGATTCAAAGTTATAAAAATTCCTCTTGCCTGACACAATACTGACTTTTGGAATGGGTATGTATAACAGTATATAACATCTTCAAATTCAGAACTTGTTTCACTCAATTTGTCTATACTTAAGTAAACCACCCCAACAGGGTACTGACATAGCTTTTCAAACAAGATTTGTTCGCTTTCTTTATTAAATTTCACCAATTCCCTTACAAATTTTGACTGATAATTCAACTCGTTTATTGGAGGATCCTTAGTTACTTCAACCCCTGCAACTCTCTGAAGCTTTAGCAACACATCATTCTTATCAAGAAACTTCTCAAGAACACTGTTTAAATTCTGATTAGTTACTGGAATGTGATTTACACTTTTCAACCAATCTCCAATTTTGATGTTCTTTTCATGTTTAGCGTCACTATCTGGCAAAAATCCAGCAACCATTACACGATTACCGTCAGACAAAGTCTCAACATTTATTCCTAACAAAATTTCTGATAAAGCTTTATCTTTCCGAAAATTATCTTTATTAAGCTTTAAGATTACTTCTTTCTCCTCGCCTTCTTGTGAGTCGTGAAATTTCACTTTATTGGTGGACGAATCCAATGTATCTTGTGATTTCTGATCCCTTCTGCTGTGTCTCTGGCTGTCTCTTCTTCGTATTAATCGAAGAAACTTGCCCCTGGTGCTACGTCTCAATTGATCTTTTGAGAATGGTCGCAATTGTTCTTTTTGTTTAGTGTTGTCTACATTATTTTGAGTCACAAAAGGGTGACAGTCAATAAATAATAATTCTCCTGTAATATCATGAATTGATGATTCCCACTCAGGAACTGAGCTAGAAATACTTCAATTAATAATTATATTATTATCAATAATAAACTAACCTGTCACTGTCAGAATAACATGACTCTTCACTTAATTCATCGGACCACTCTTCTTCAGAACTGCTTCTGTCACCACTATATAACATACGCCTTGAATCGTCCGAAATGTTGACATCCATTGTACGATTACGAATGATTACGAATAATAGCACGTATACACGTAACTGGACGGAGCCAGACCACAGCCAGACGGAGCTTGGAAAAGGTTAAAGCATACCACGAAGCGAGAAGGATATAGTCGATCAGCTGTTGCGGCATTGTTTTCGTCACGGTGGTTTTCGTTGTGATTTTACCGTGTGAAATCATTGTGATTCGTCGTTTGTGAATATTGTTTAAAACATGCAGAGTGTTATTGAAAGGTATGTACAACAAAATTGATAGTTCTTCGCGAAGTCTGAGAAGTCTGAAAAACTTATATTGTATTATCAAAATTATAAGGGGAAAATTAACCCTTATCCAACCTTTTTAGACGCTACTGAAAGATAAATAGGTAAAATTTTAGTTAATCATGCAACTAGTGAGGAAAGTGTTTTTTTTTTCACGAGAAGGAAAATTTAAAAAAATCCGCTGAGAGAAAAAAAGTCACTTTACTCACGAGTTGCATACAAAATTTTTTTCACGTTCGTAACAAAATTCAATAGCCACGAACCTCAAAAACTTTTTATTTTGGAACATAGATATTCAATGTAGCTGTACTTGCCGTCTTGATAATTTCTTCAGGGGTACACAAGAAATCTTCATCGCTGCCCGATTCCATTGTGCGAGCACACAAATTATCACAAAACACCGAGAAAACTAATACCTACAAACCACTTAAATATGGATTAATAAATTACAACATTTTTGTATACATTTTAATTTTTGACAAATGTGTTGATGAATCGTCATAGCAACGGCAGGCTTCTATGTTTTACCTGGTTCTACGTTTAATAAATGTCTTCCGTTAAAAAATGACACGCTGCGACACTTTTTTCATTCAAATGCGTGAAAAAAAGTGTAATGGCGTTTCATTTTTTCACGCATTTGAGTGAAAAAATTGGTCTAAAGAGTTTAGACAGTACTTCCCTCGCTGTCGGAAACTTGACGACTGCATGCCTATTGTGTTTTTTTTTCTCATTACATTTTTGTAGTGGGAATTTAAAAAAAAATTGTGATGACGTCATCAACATTTTTGCAAGGACACGTATATCAGTTGGGATAGATGTAGTGTAATACTAAGAATAAAATTATTGTATTCCCAAATTTTCGGGAAAATGAATTGGGTCGTTTTGAATATTGATTTCTTATAATCAATAAAATAACGAAACAATTTACTCACGTATACGGCGCCGGTGTGTAATATCTAGAGAGCGGATTTCTGTCGGGCTAGGCAAGGCCAAACTCGGTACGGCTCGTACGGGATGCGAATTCATTGCGGTTGCGGACTGCACTTCGTTTATTTGATATTAGAATAACGCTGTTTCGTTGCACTCTGCTGTTAATTCCCGTTCTCATTTACTTAGCCGTTTGATTAATAAATCGTTAATTATATTTATGGAATTAGTACTGATTAAATTCAGTGATTATCTATCACCCGCTACTGAGTCCCGGCGATCCAGCGCGTCCCCACCTATAATCGTGACGTAGCCCGACAAAAATCCGCTGTCTAGTAATATGAAAGGCAACTGAAAATCGTTTATGTATAAACATTCTTAATTTAAGATGACAAGCGTAACAGCATACGTGAGAGTCAAACAGAGAAACTGTAAACAAAACGACCATCGGTTTTATTGCTTCGACTTCCGCTTATTATATAAAACATTGGGTTTTATTTTAATTCTTGACGGTGAAATTCACAATTGGTTGATTATAAACATGTCTATTCTACATTCGCGGAACCAAGTGAGCGCATAAAACAAATGCAGGTCTGTAATGTTAAAGTCGATGTAAATAAGCGTGCTACCCTTATGTTTCAACCGAGTTTTTCCTTTAACAAATTTTGTGTCTACCAAATTGGGTTGGTTGGGGTGTAATACTAATAATAAGTGTTGCCTTTAATTTAATCAATAAAATAAATTGATTTCATTAATTTTTTTGAACCACCTCTTAAGAAAATCTAAAAAATATGAATGGAATGATAAATCACAAGTACAAACTCATCATATTTTTTGCATTTTAGATAGGATTTATTCAGCAAAATTTAAGGGTGACGTCATCAATTTTTTTAGGAGGGATGAACAAATACATTTTGAACAAAAGTTTACCATGCTTATAATAACTTTAAAATATTCCCAAGATTTCAAAGCATTCGGTTTTGTAATTCCTGATTAAATCGATAAAATAAATTCACGCCTTCATTAATTTTTTTGAGTCACCCTGCATATGCAAATCCAAAAATATGAATGGAATGATAAATCACAAGTACAGACTCATCATATTTTGTACATTTTAGATACGATTTATTCGGCAAATTTTCGAGCTGACGTCATCAAGTTTTTGGAGGGGATAAGCAAATATATTTTGACTTAACATTTATTATGCTCTTTATGACCTTAAAACATCTGCAAGATTTCAGAGCATTCGGTTTTGTAGTTCCTGATTAAATCAATAAAATATATTTACGCATTCATTAATTTTTTTGAGTCACCCTGTATATGCAAATCCAAAAAATATGAATGGAGTGATAGATCACAAGTACAGACTCATCATATTTTGTACATTTTAGATATGATTTATTCCACAAATTTTTGAGCTGACGTCATCAAGTTTTTGGAGGGGATAAGCAAATATTTTTTGACTAAAGATTTATGATGCTCTTTATAGCCTTAAAACATCTGCAACATTTCAAAGCATTCTGGTCAGCAGATTAAAAATTAAATTTCAAAATGTTGTTTTATAATTTTGATTTTTTTTCCAAAAATCTGGACGTTTCGGGTGAAAAGTCGATTCAGAGTTGTAAACTACATGTGTAGGACTATGTTAATTTATACAATTGAAAACCCATTTACTATGTACAATTTTGAAGTGACGTCATCGCATAAGTGGTGGGGATGATTAGACAAATTTTGGTTAGCGTTTTACCATCTACATGATATTCTTAATATAAGTACAAAATTTCACAACAATCGGTCGAGTACTTTCGGAGATTATCTGTCTAATAAAAATCCAGGACGGCAGACAGACGGACAGACAGACGGAAATGGGAGACCTATTTCTTCGTCTTCTAGGGGTCATGAAAGATCGAGAAAACGTAAAAGTAGAAAGTCGGCCAATGGACTCGATTACAATACTTCCTTTGCTTACGCTCGGGAAGTAAAAATAAAATATGTTTGTGAACGTGTATCAATAAGGTTGCCATAAAAAAAATATTCATGGCTATGATTAATTAAAATTATAAAAAAGTATTATTTTTTCAAATTTGACTGTCTTGGTTGCCAAATGACTCATAGTCTAATTGAAAGTATACAACATCTGCTATATGCAGTCGATCGGTTCCCTACCTTTTTCTGTTCCCTTTTACCTGGTAGCCGCGTGCAAACAGGTAAATTGATATTAGTAACAGAGATTTCTTAGTAGTTACTAAGAAATCTCTGATTAGTAATTGCGCTCATCTGCTTACCACCATATTTATATATCAAAATGTAGGTAAATTTATTGCGAGTAGAATAGTATAAGGTTGCTTAAGAAAATCTGTTCATAGATTACGGTAGCTAGGCTTTGAAGTTGCAAAAATTGGAGCATGTAAATATGTGTGACAGAGAAGCGTTGCTCGTACTGTTACCATGCGATAAAGGAGGACGTAGTATAGGTATAGCAGCTGCGCGCCACTGGCCGGTAGAATATAAGAGAGTGCGCATGCTTCCTATTCGTAGTATAGACAAGGAAAAAAATAGTATACTCTAGAGGATCATTTTCAAACGTAGTAGAAGTAATTTCAGCACGAAAGGGCACAGGGGCGGGGCTTAAGTTGCGCGACTTGTAGCCGGGCCATCAGTGGCGTAACATCGATGCATTGAGAAGGGAGGCTCGGCTGAGTTGTACTTCTTTCAAAAACAATTAAAAAAAGAGCAATTTCTACAAAAGAATACAGACAACCATTTAGTAAAAATAAATTAATTTGTTTGTTAAAAAAATAGACTTACGTAACAATAAATTATGATAATCTATCACACAAAATTTGGTATTTTTAATTATTAAACGAGTTTATAATGTGAGGGATTATAGCATGAGTAAAAAATTTCACGAACCCCTCATTATAAACTAGTATCATATACTAAGGTATTTTATAGTCGACTAGTCTTAAATCAACAGTTAAATCTTTAGATAAAAGCGGGCTTAAAACTCTGAGAATAAGCAACCTATGACTATAATTATATGTTTTTTTATTTTCTGGCACAATTTATCGATACCGTAAAGTCGGATTATAATAAGGCTTAACGTTTTCTGTCTTTAACATCGAAGTAATAATCACAGTTCATATTCTAGCATAATTGTCGTTTATAACTAGAGCTTCGACTGTATCCTAATTTAACAGTTATTATTGCTCACTAAAAATTACCTTTTTACTTCTTTTACTTACTTTTTTATTCAACTCATACATCAAATACAGCACTAATAATTGTTTAAATTCTTTTTCTACAATGTCAACGCTAATAAAATAGAAAAGTGATATTTTTATTAACCGCAATAATATATATTTTAATATTTAAAATCGAAATATTCATCGCCGCTGCCACTGCTTGCACGATATTTGTAAGGCCAAATCAAAACAATGTTCTGCGCACTCCCACCACCTGTACCCTTTCGTCTTGAAAGCTGCTGTACGTTGACATTGATTAAATACATATAGATAGACCCCATGATACAATAAATACTAGGTATGATATTGCGCACGTACGGAGTGGGGGAGTGACGTCACTGGGTGAGTAAACACAGGCATTTCGCGCGTATTCTGCAACGTTTTTCTGTCTTCCACGTATTTTTCAGAAGGTTTAGTGGCTGCACGTTATGTTTTAATAATTTGATAAAGTTACAACGATGCGTTGTGGCGTTTTTGGGTGTAATAGCGATAAACAATCAAGACATTTTCAAAAAGACATACAATTTTATTCGTTTCCAAGGGACAAGTATGGGTTATTTCTTGTCGTTCGGACTCATTTATAGTAAAAAATGCAAGAGTGTGTTCACAGCATTTTAGTGAAGACGATTTCGAGCGAAATTTGCAACACGAACTTCTAAATTATCTTCCTAAAAAAGGAAAAAAAAAAAACCTAAAATTTGGAGATCAGCCAAGTTAGTT